CGAAATCGTGGCAGTTTTGTGTTAAGGAGACAGTATGTGTCAAAGCGAAGCTCCATAAATGAGGACACTACACGAAACTAACACATTTACTCGTGATTTATTTTTTATGTTGCAAAGTTTTGGTGTAGCATAAACTGTGCACACTCATGCTAAGCAGAAAGACTGGTCTCACACAGTTTTTCTCGGTCAACCCTCTAGAAAGCTTTCCTGAGTTGCCCCGAATTGAACAATCACAAGCGTCCGCCTAAAAGAAGGAGAAAAGAAACAAAAGAGAATGTTACCTCTGAGCAAAGATAAAGAGGGGAAAAAAGATCACAGTTTGTACTCATATGCATAACCCCCACTAATGTCAGGGTACTATATGTGTCTAGAGATAATGGTGATGATAGTAATAAATCCCCTCTGAACACACACAGACACACACACACACACACGTTTTCTCAGGCCTTTGGGCAACGCACGAACAAAATGGGGTCAGTTAGCAGATCTTGACTCTAATGTACAACTACTATGAGCACCATAAATCTGTGCTGCACACGCGCACACGCGCACACACACACACACACACACACACACACACACACACACACACACACACACACACACACACACACACACACACACACACACACACACACACACACACACACACACACGCGTTCCCAAACTACCGCTGACACGTTCGCGCAGAGAGCTCCGTGTTAGCATCGAGCTAACACCCCGTGACTCGCTGGCGTTAGCAGCCGCGGGGACCCCTCCACAGACCGCTAGCGCGCTTTGTTTTTCCGTCCCGTTACGTGGAGCCGCGCCAGCGTCCTCGGCCCGTGTCGCAACAAGTCAGGGCCTCCTGCTGCGCCCCGCGCCGCCCGACGACTCGCTGGAACAAGGCCGACGCGGCGGCTAACAGTTCGCGGCACGCCGGCGGACGAGCGTTCTTACTTGATTCGGGACCCCATCCTCGGTTCTCGCACCGCTCGGCGTTGAGGTCGCGCAGACGCGTCTGCTCCGGAGCTGTGTTTTTTTTATTTTTTTTTCAGCCGCTGACCTGTCACACGGAGCGGTACGCCACGGTCCGTCGACGCGCAGTGACGCGCGGCCTCGCAATGAACTCTGGGGCTTGTAGTCGGTGAAACGTCGCAAGTCTGTGCTTGAAAACGGCAGCTTCCACCTTACGTGTGGCAGACGACGGGATATCGGCCGGTTTGGTTCATATATAATATAGTTATAGTCATAAAGTACATTAAGGTTCTGTTGTCTGATTTAAACAGCATGACAAATAAATGTGTAACTGCTAGTCAATGCATTATATTTCATACTTTTTTTAAATGTTACAAAATATGCATGGACAAATAACAGCGGGTATCCTTTTGTTGGGTCAGGGGGTCCTTGAGGGGGATAATTTATTTTCATTATAATGACGCCCCTAATCAACACAATGACATAATATACATACTTTTTTGTGTGTGTGTCAAACACTTTATTTGATAGTTTGTTGTACAGCAACAGCCCGCATGTCACATGACAACACGTGGAATGACTGAAATAAGCAACAAAGCAGCCACGAGGCTCGTGATGTAACGTCACAGGTGAATCGCGTCCCAGCTGTGAATCTGCCAACCTGTCAAACGTTGAGCAAGTTGCATTTCGTTTTGATCTGCAAACGTTATTGTGGTTTATTCTGCAGACGCATTCGCGTAACGTTACGTGGGCTGTCCCGCGAGGACCGGGGGAGAGGGGAGGGGGGGGGGGGGACGTGTCTCTCGGCGGGGGAGTGGCACCATAACACGGACCAATGTAACGCGAACGAGCTGCTTCAAGCGAGCGGAACACGCCTGGCTGCTCTCTGGGTAAGACTCCATTCAAACGACCTCGCCCTACACTCGTGCAGTTAGCTTAGCTTAGCTTCTACCCGTTTTGCTCTGTGCGCGTGTGTGTGTGTGTGTGTGTGTGTGTGTGTGTGTGTGCCGTGCGTTAAACGTGTACCGTTACTGCGTGTTAGACGGACTGTAACGTGGTGTCGTTTAACGTCACGCGTCCGCTTTGACGTGTGATTGAACCCTGTTTCCACATCGATAGCTGCTCTCCTATAAACGGGCATCTTGTCACATTGTTTGCTTTTACTTAAATATCTCCGTTAAACTCCGTGTAACGTCACCGTCTGTTTTAACGTGACGTCACACGGACCTGCGCTAAACCGGCCGTGACGTTAAAGGGAATTATTATTCATTTAACGTTGAAACAGGATGTCACGTTTTAAAACAGACGCGCGGTAAACAAAGTGCGCACGGTGTGTTTTGACGACGCGTCGTGTTCACCGTTACTTGGTGGGAGTGACGTCAGTGAAACCGGCAGTTCGGACTGACGCCGGTTTCATTTCACGCGTTGACGTGAGGTCACTGCCGTTACTTATGACGTCACGGGTTGAAGCTCGCCTGCGCGTCGTTCTAACTCGGTGAGATTAAGTCGCGATAGTGCTGCAAACTCTTGAAATAGGCGTTTCACAACAGGAAACCTCTGCAGGGCAGCTCCTTTTCTGTAAACTGCATTGACAATTATATGACTTGGAACACAATATTCAACATCTAAGCACATTGGCTGGATACTAACAATGTCTTCTGATCGGGCCGGCCGGTTAACATGCAGGGGTCTGTGTGGGTGTACATGAACGTTACGTGGAATGCTGTAATTACACAAGGGTCAGCTGGGAGAGGACCGGTGTCCCCGGGGACGTGTCTCCACTCACAGGGAGGCCATGTCTTCACCGGACACGCCGACATGCAGCTCTGCCGTTCTCCAACCCGTGTGGCTATTGTAGGAACGAAGAAACCTACAACTGAGAAAAGTCTACAGACTTAAATAAACAGGGGCCACGTTTATAACAACGTCACAAACTCCCATCCGGCTCGCGCAGTATGTTCCAGGCGCAGGTATCTGGTTGAAGGCGTGCTTCTTACCAAAAACACGCGACTTTAAGATGAAACATTTGTATCAGAATGCTGCTTATGTGCAGTCTCCAAGGTTACAAGTTTTATGCCAAAATAAAACCGCTGTAGACACAGGAATGTTTTTTATAGATAATGTTTAAAATACTTGAACGTTATGATTCAGCTGATCTAACATTCTGATACATTTGTATTTAGGAAGGTTGATCATTTTCTGAGAATTACTCAGAACTATTCTATCTAATTCTATTCCACAATAGAAGAAAGAATACACCAGATAAACCCTGCACAGGTCCCCAAAGGCACATTGTATTTATAAAGTAACGTTTGGTTGAAAGATAAAACTGATGTGAAAGCATCCAAAAGGAAGTCAAAAGACGGAGGTGACTAACTAAGTATTTTAGGGCCGAAAAAAAGGAACAAGCTCATTTTTATAACTTTGTGCATGCAGCTTGTGATTCCGATTCTTTTATGTAAAGGTTTGAACATTAATCACGTGCAGAGGTGGAAAGACAGGAGCGTCCTGTTTTAGGTAAGCAGGATACAGATGTTGGCTATCAGGCCGATGGCCTCATACCTGGTATCCATGGCGATAGGGCTGACCAAGTCAATTCAATGTGCTCTTAAAATCATCAAATGTCCCTGTAATACTTTACATGTCCGGACATACTTACCACCCTATTGTATGTTGTTGTCCTCAAATACCTTAAGACACAAAGAACAGGATTCATTCAGTCATAAAGTGGTTTTATTCAAGATAGAGGTTTCCTGAGCCTTCACAATACAGAGTCCACTGCTTTCTATACTTTCTATATAACATTGGATTATATACATTACGACATTTTGGCGTAGTCACGTTTTTGGTTAAAACATGCCGATTTTTTCATACATTTAAAAGATATGTGGCGGTTTCTGGGTTGGTTCCACGCCGCCAAATCTGACGTCATCACTCCGTATTCTTGTGTTTCCAACGGTCCATTTTTGTAGTTCTAGTGCAGAAGCTTCCCTAAAAAGGAGGCGCTAACTTGGTGTTAACACTGAAACAACACTTTGGGTGGGTTAACAGCTTGAGAAAAAGACACTGATGGCACATCGCTGTGTATTGCATCTTTATTTCAACCAATAATGCTTTCCAATGCTTTTTTTGGTAGGTTGTGTATCACTACAAAAAGGTTGAGAGCCGCTGGTGTAGATCAGCGTGTTCATGTGCTTTATGTGTATACTGTTCGGTAACATTTTTCCCTTTTCAAAGTGGATTCAATGCAGGTCAAATTCTGTTATGCCATCCTCGCCCTCAAGCCCCGGGGCTCTCCTTCCCCCTGCAGTCAGGCTGTCTCTCCTGTGTCAGTGCACAGGCAGCATAGTAGAAAGAAAAGTCCTTTTTTTTTTACATGGCAAATGTGTCCATGTTGAACCTTAACGTGTTACCAACTGCGTGAAATAGCACAGTGGTTTGGGGTGACTTGCCAGTCTTAATAAGATGCCGTATTGCGAATGTCAGCGGTTGCAAATCCCTTTAGCTTATTACTTAACACACACACACACACACACGTTACGGAAGTTTAGAAGACGTATTAGATGACACAGAGATGTGGTATCACTGCCGCTTCCTGCTGTCATTCAGCAGAACTCATCTAGGCAGCGAGCAGGTCACCGCGCTCGATCTCTCACTCCGCTTGTTGCTTTTCAGGCTCTCACGTTAAACACGGTGTGACTCTAAAGGAATAGTTGCAGATTTGATCTTTAATCTTCCCTGTTGCAGGACTTGTTGGCTGTGATGCGGCCATGGAGGCACAGAACAACAACCAGCAGACCTTAGACAACCACAACCATCTCAACAAAGCACCCGGTCAGGAGGATCAGGTGGGACATTTCAGCAGCGCAGTAAGGGACAGGGTCAAAGTGCGTATGACAGGGAAAGGCTAGATGTTGTTCCAAAACGCGTGCTGTCTGTTGATCAGATTTCATGCCTTTTGTCTCCACTGCGTCTTTACATTAAAATGTTTGACAATTACTGGAAATGTGATTATTCTATTTCTTGCTGAGGGCGAGATTCCATTTCATCCTCACCAAAACAAAAATGATACATGCGTGTTTTACCACGGCTGGGCTATTTCCTCATTCACCCACATGCTGCCAGAGAATCACCAGGAACTCCAGTGTGTGACGTACTGCTTTTGCAAGTTAACACATTCATTCATTGAGCCCAAAAAGGGCCGCGGCGACCCGAACAGCCGCTCGCTGCTCTGCTCGCAACTGGCCGCGAGTGTTAGCTCGTTAGCGTGTTAGCTCAACCCCAGAAGAGGGACGCTTTTTTCCAGGTGTGCGGTGTAGCTGCAAAGTCTTTTTTTCTCTGAAGGTTCGCTGCTCATTTTGACACACGATAACGCTCGCCTCCCATTGCCCACTTCAAACAAACTGTCACCAACAAGCAACAAGCGTGTCCCGTAGCAACGATCGCCTGAGTTTTTGGCGCGTTTAAAGAAGCCTATTATTGGCCGTCTAAAAAAATAAAATTATATATATATATATATATATTGTCTGTGATTGGAATATGGGACTGGAGCTGTCCCTGACGGGACATATCAAAATCACCCATAAATCGGGATGTCCCGGACAATTCGGGTGTTAGCTCGTTAGCGTGTTAGCTCGGGCGATACCAGAGGCTCGACAGACTGATCTAACGTAACTGATGTCGGATTTTCCAAACAGACTCCGCTCCTCTGTTGGGCACACGTTGTTACTTTACATCACAGGTCATTTAGCTGACGCTTTTATCCAAAGCGACTAACATTGTATTTTTAACCCATTGGCTTTTATATTTTTGCCCGCGGAGCAATTCGGGGTTAGGCGTCTTGCTCAGGGGCACTTGGACACGGAGCAGCCGGGACTCGATCCTTGCGGTTCCCAGCGCCCGCTCGCTACTCCTGCACCACGTCGGCCCCACACACGTTGTGCTGGTGCATCTCTGGTCTCTCCTTGTTCCTCTTGTGTCGCTCTTTTCCGTGTTTTCATGTAGCAGCAGAGTTACTTCTTGTTGTGAGCTTTACCCAGCATGCACTTTAATGCACCACATCGTCGGAACTTTTGATTTGTTTTTTTCCATGTACAGAAAAACGCTCCGAGCTGTAAGTACTTCTGCACTCTGGGTAACTTCCGGATTGAGAAGAAGATCGGAAGGGGCCAGTTCAGTGAGGTCTACAAAGCCACGTACCTGCTGGAGGGAGAGCTGGTGGCGCTGAAGAAAGTCCAGGTACAGCACTGGGCAGCAGGACCTTTGTCCCAATTCTACGTTCATACACAGATCAAGACAGTTTCATGTATTTTTATGAACTTGTCCATTTAATTCCCTCAATAAACATGGTTTTATGCTCTTTGTGGTCGTAATCTCAAGTCTTCTTCAATAAAGAACGATGTTCATTTAGTGAATGACGGTCAAACCACAAAGCGAAGTATGTAGGGCGGGCTTACTGTGATTGACAGGGCCATACAGCGTTCATAAGCAGATGTATCTACAGTATAGAGAAGATGATAGTATTAATTTAATGGGATAGTAGCGGGCATCATAACAAATAACAGAACACCAACAAAGTCATAGAAAGTCCTTAAGAACATCCCAACATGATGAGTCCCATACGTCACCTTTCCAAAAACGCTGAAATGTCTCCACCTTCAGTGTCACTAACATTAACTGCTCTCAGGCCAAGCTTTCTGACTAAGTCGGTCTCACGAGTAATCAAGGTTTATGTCATTGCCATTGTTTTATGTCCTTATTTGTGGCATTTTAGTGTTTCCCGATGGGTCACAATGGAGTACGATTTCGGGGTTTACCCATTCATCTGAGTCTGGGCTTGCCAGGGCCGGCCATCCGCCGTTACTGGAACTCATGTTAACTAGTGTCTTTGTCGCTGCAGATCTTTGACATGATGGATGCCAAGGCCCGTCAGGACTGCATCAAAGAGATCGATCTCCTAAAGGTAAAGATGGTGGAACATCGCCGTGTGCTCAGTGGGTCGGTGACACACAACTTGTGCTTCGAGGGAAACGTGAGGATGAGAGCAAGGACATCGGCATTGCCCACACCATCACCCTGAGCTCACCTATGTTTGTTGAATCTTGTTGCAGCTGCTGCGTGTTGTGTCAAAAGCAGCAAATAAGAGATTAGTGCCTACCAAGAACAATTGTCTCTCTCCGTTTGTCCACTGCAGCAACTGAATCACCCCAATGTGATCAAATACCTCGACTCGTTCATTGAAGACAATGAGCTCAACATCGTTCTGGAGCTGGCGGATGCAGGAGATCTGTCCCAGATGATAACGGTCAGACAGCACCAGTCCGCGTAGCTTCACTTTGGATGAATACTGATATTTTTTTATTTGCTAAGCCCCGCCCACCTGCTGGTACTGCATCGAGCGCAGCGTGCTGGCTTGCAGAGCGTGGCTGCACACTGCCACTTACTGCATTACCTGACGGAATATTATCCATCAGTATCCCCATTACACTACAGTAGCCTGAAAGATGAACAAATAAAATAATCCATTGCATGAAAGCCCGTCATGGGAGGAGCTGGCTGATGCTAAGGATTAGCATCTTTCAGTGAAATAGTTTTTTGGTTCAATAATCTTGCCTTCCATCTGTTTAGTATTTCAAGAAGAAGTGCCGCCTCATCCCAGAGAGGACTATATGGAAATATTTTGTGCAGCTCTGCAGCGCTGTGGAGCACATGCACTCACGCAGAGTAATGCACCGCGGTAAACAGCTACTCACTGGCACTTTAACATCTCCATATTGGTTTGTAATGTGATCGAACTTTAATTATTACTTAGCAGTCAATATGCAACGTAGTACTTAGCAAAGGTCATCGTTCTCTACAATTTACAATGTTCTGATAAGCTGCGTGTGTGTGTGCGTGTGTGCGTGTGTGTCAGATATCAAGCCAGCCAACGTGTTCATAACAGCCACAGGGGAGGTGAAGCTGGGTGACCTGGGATTGGGCCGCTTCTTCAGCTCCAAAACCACGGCAGCGCACTCCTTAGGTAAAGCCTCTTCACAGCACGTGTACTCTACATTCATAGTACTTCAATGCAAAGACCCGTTTAAAACCAGCTCTGCATCAAATCCCCTGAATACCGTGACAGGCGTTCATTGTATGAAGGCAATGAAGAAGTTATCACTTTTGAACAGCGTGTTCCTTGTTTCAGTGGGGACACCTTACTACATGTCGCCGGAGAGGATCCATGAGAACGGATACAACTTCAAGTCCGACATCTGGTCTCTGGGGTGCCTCCTGTATGAGGTACGGTCGCACCGCCGCTCCCTTGATTGGTGGTAACCTCGCCTCGCAAACAGAGAAAGACCTGCTGTGGTTCATTGCATCCAAACAGAAGAACCACTAGAACTATTCTGCCTGGATGTGGTCCAGATGTTGTGTTCACCAGAATGGGACATTATGACCACGGCGGCACGAAGGCTCCCTGGGAGCGTGGGTGAAAACCTGCGGGCGCTGCCCACTAGGGGACTTTGGGACTTTACAGAAGACCGAATAGAAAACAAGTTGCCCAATGATTTTGTCTTTTCATCGGCTTTGTGCGTAGCTGCATGTCTCCATCCAGATGCTGGCCGTCTCCGTGGACATAATGAACTCCTTTCTCTGTCACATCTCCATGTACTTCATCGGAATGCATCGTGGCACTGGTCTGACGGTCCTCTGTGTCCTGCACATTCTCTGTGCATGTGAGGATGTTCTGACTGGCCAACGGAGACTGAATGAGTCTCCTTTATTCTCCGGCTGCATCGCCACATCCTCCACATGAGACGGCAGATACTCTGCATGCCTCCTTCTCCTCTGCCACGATCGCCGTTTCTTTAGTTTTAAACACTGCTTCCCTTTTTAGCGCTTCTCATGATTTGACTAGTTTTTCCTTCTTCACTTCACTCTACATCCAAATGTCTCCTGTAGTGTCTTTACTTTGACTTTTGCAGGACTTAGTGAACAGCAGTTTGACCACACACCCGAATCAGAGGGTTGACGGTTCGATGCCGGGTCCTGCCGACTCGCTCACACACACACACACACACACACACACACACTACTTCTATCTTCCTCCTCATCCAGCCTGTCTGCTTCCGTCTCCAGATGGCGGCGCTGCAGAGTCCGTTTTACGGGGACAAGATGAACCTCCTGTCGCTCTGCCAGAAGATAGAGCAGTGTGACTACCCGCCCCTCCCGTCTGACCACTGCTCTGAGAAGGTAGAGCAGCACACACACAGATGTTACCTCACCAGGTGTTTACTGCTATGGTCAATGGTGTCAATCCAGCGCTTTGTGTCTAGAATCTCCATATTTTCTCTTAGTAATGGTTATTGCTTCCTTGATATTCATACTTCATACTTTGTGTTTATGTGTGTCTATGTTTCCACGTGCTGCATGGCTCAGTGGGGAGACTGAGAGCAGGGACAGCTAGCTTAGCACGATTGGGAGCGAAGGCATCCGCCCTCCTACATCTGTAGAACCACACAACAGGGATTCCTGTTCCTCTCGGGCTCCATTGTTAAGAAATCAGTGAGTCACGCTGGTTCCCCCGTTACAGTGACTCAATCCCACACGCCGAGGCTTTGTCTCCTCCGTGGAGCCTGATGTCTTCGGTTGTCCCTCCGTCCTTTCATTGCGTCTGGCTCGTGACTTTGGAGTTTATATACCAATGAGAAGCCGCTAACAAAATACGAAAAACATTTCGGGACATCTCCCGACAATGAATGCACTAATCGTGACACCTTCTCACAAATCTCTAGATCAGCCATTCCCAAAGTGTGGGCCGCGGCCCCCTGGTGGGCCGCGCAGGTACTGCAGGTGGGCCGCGAGAGGTCATTTACAATAAATAAATAAAGTTTTTTGTTTAATTTTCAATTTTTAAAAGTTTGAAATTAATATAAAAATATGTATGATGCGGCACGTTAGTTATGTGAAACATTAGTTGATGAAGCACAAACAATTTAAACGGACAGATTAATAAAACAATGAGGCTCTCGCTGGAAACGGCTGCTCTTGTCCGCCTGTCGTTGTTCAACAAACGGGGCGCCCTCTTGTAGAACCGCAGTTCTAGATGAAGCGATGACGTCTCGATGGACTCGGATGGAACCCGCAGCTTTAGCTCGAGGGTAAACGTGCTCGTGGCTACGACAGCTAATCCGGCCTTCTTCCCACAGCTGCGGGAGCTGGTCAGCATGTGCATCAACCCGGACCCGGACCGGCGGCCCGACATCGTCTATGTGCAGCAGATCGCCAATCAGATGCACGTGTGGACCTCCAGCACCTGAGCGCCAGCGCGGGGGGGGGCGCTCGCTCGGCGTGAGCTCGGCCTGGTGCAGCAGAAAAGCTCCCGCCTCACCTTCCCCCTTCGACCGTGACGCTTTTGTGTCACGGCTCCGCAGCGGCGCCGCCCGCGCGTGGACCTTCCGAGAGCCCACTTTGTTCACGTGTCCGAGCTTCGTTAGCTGAGGACGGAGAGCCGTGCTCGCACGTGTCTCTCAGCTTCGTCCTCCACCTGGGTGCCTTTCCAGGTGCCATTGCTGTAGGGTTCAACTATTTATCAACCTTTATTGGAAGCGAAAACAAAAGGTGATAGCTATTTGTGTAATTGACGGGTCTAAATGGACAATTCCAAGTCCGATGTAAACAAGAGCAGTTGCTGACAGAAGGCGGCATCGGTGTGAAGCTTGTGGCAGGAAGGTCTGGTGCCTCTGAGACTTCTCCAGAAGGTCACCCATCATTTTGTTGTCTTAGACCTGAGACCTGATGACCCACAAACGGACAACGTTTGCGTCTTATTTAACCCGCTGCATTTTGAACCTGCAATGATCTTTGTCGCCTTCATACGTGTGCACACTGTTTTCAGTACGTATGTGGATTCAGACCCGTTGCTGTGAACGTCACTCAGCGTAGAACCAGAAATACGTGGATCCACTTCTTTCATTCCCGATATAATACGACAGCGGGGCCGTTTATGAACAAGCTGACTGGCTGAAGACTGGGATCATTGCTTAACGTGAGAGGCACTATGAGGCTTCCATCAATCTGACATTGGAAGAACATTGGTATTAGTTCAGTGAAATTAGATCAAATCTTAGATTTTATTTTAAGTATTTTAATGCTGCAATTTATTGGTGTAGAGTTAAAATCCCACCATATGTGTATAGTTTGCAAACACAGAATAAAGTGACTGGATTCACTGATACCGATGTGTTGGTGTCAGTAGTAGTACTTTGCTGAAGGAGCGGATCTAATGAACTGTACTTATACAGTGTCATTTATTTATTCCTTTGTGAATGACTCGTATAATGTAATAAATATACGAGTTTCCAGGTTGCATCATGTGTTTTATATCGAGCGTCATCTTCCATCCGCTGTGCTTTGATAAACGGAGACTTTCTACTGTTTTACTACGTCCTCTACGGAGTCTCACGTCTCCGTTTTCACAGCACAATACGGCCGTTATTAAAAGGAAGAACGTTTACGGGAGAACGGATCAGATTGAAGAGCTTTTGTGGGAAGAAATGCGTATATATGAGCGCTTGTACAAGCCGTCATTGGCGGACTATGAGGACGCCGGATGGCCTCTGATTCATGGAGGGAGATCTCCACCAACGAGGGGAACAAAGTCGTGGAGGAAAATACGGGACAAATGTGTCCGTGATGAAAAGCAGCAGTGTGGATGCACGGGGCAATAAAGTCTATGATCAATAAATAAAGCAACCAACGACTTCCACACACAAAGACGTGACTCTCTAGGTCGTCTTCAACAAAACACGTGACTCCACCTGTTGTTCTGGAGGTGAATCGCTCTGCAACACACGCAGAAACTCTCCACCGTCCTTCGTGTGCGGGGCAACACACAACTGCACCGTGACTATTTGAAAATAACAAAAGTAATATGTGGAGACACAATATTACCAATACCATATCTATAGAAAATTACTCTGTGATCTTTATGAACACTTAGGATCAGGATTTAATCAACGTCAAAGAACTTTTCGGACAGCGACGAATGGTTTGATTTGACGTCTCCAGTTATTGGGGAAAAATCATCCCTCTCGTCAGCCTCCACAACTCCAAACTGTCATTTGAAGCAAACAGGATTCAGAGCGCGCCTCTTAAAGAGAGCCTCTGCTCAAACCGCTTTGAGAAATAAGTGGTCAAAAACACAAAATCAACTCAAACACTTTTATTGGAAATCATGGAAAAACATGCGTTTTGTGTTAGGAATTGTGAGGGGTGCACGGAGGGAGGCGGGGTCAGTATTTTAGGAGGTGTCCATGGTGAGTACGGTTTCCTCCACCACCTCCAGGTTCAGCGCCGTCACGGACTTCGTCAACACACTGGTGGTTCCTCTCTTGTACTTGTAGTCGCCGGTTCTACGACAAATAACAATAAAATGGATATGGAGCTGAAACGTTGCAACACGTCCTGTGAGACACGTCTCACAGGACGCACCTCAGGCAGCAGCTGTGCACTCACACAAACCCAGTGGTGACATGAGGTGCTGACGCCGCATTGGAAGAAGTTAATACAAAGACTAAGAACCCTGCATGCAGCACTGTGTATATAATGACTAACTTTATTACCGCACATTACGCTGTTGTCAATTTGAACTAGTGTTTTAATTAATGGTTTATTCACACACGTGCACAAAGAATAGTGCTACAATTGTTGGATGTTGAAGGAACTGTGATTAATATAAAATACTCAGACTCTCACTATACCGCCTTGCATGTGGTACCAATAGATTCCTGCTAATACAGTGTGAACACAAGCCCTAAACCCCAGAAAGAACCATGCTAGGACTCAAAAGGACGATCGTGTGGACGAACAGGTCTCACCTGACCCCCTTCTTGTTGGCCTCATCGTGGGGCCGGATGTAGTCCAGCTTGCCCTTGGTGATGACGCACAGGTCAATGTTGCTGCCAGAGCCCAGGTCGTTAAAGATGCCCGCGGCGATGGCGTCTCGCACCAGCCGCTTGGCGTCCTCCTCCTTTGAGGAAACGGAGCGAATGAAAAGCAGCACGTTATGACAGGACGTCTCCGACTCGCGATGAGAGGGTTGCGGGTCAGTGCTGTCCCGCACTCACCTCCATGTCCGGCTTGTAGCGGTCCTCAAACACCGCCATGGCGGCCAGAGACCCAGAGCCTTTGGGAAAGAAAACCAGCGATCAGGTGGGACCCTGAAAACCCACGACGGCTTTATGGAAGTCAGATCGTGTGCGAGATCAGACCGTCAACTATTCCACACTGGGCCAGATTACTGAGCAAGGGCGAGGCTTTGTCTCCAAGGTGGATTAATAAAAAAAACTTTCCTACTCTGCAGCTTTCATTTGGTTTACTCGTCACATAAGTAATCATAACCGTGACATTCAGGCTTATTTCATCATTCCATCCCCGTATGAAGATGTTGGAGATCTATTGCAAACAAGGTGGGGGCGGAGACTGACCCATGGTGACGTAGGGCAGCTTGTCAGTGGAGCCGTGAGGGTAGATGCTGTAAAGGTGAGGACCGTTGCAGTCCACTCCACCCAGGACCAGAGCAGCACCGATGTAGCCCTGATACCTGAAGACACACACAGATCAAAGCGAGCAGGAAACAGGCAGGATGGATTCTTCAGAGGAAGTGGAATTGCACCACGGTTAGTAGCCGTCACTTTGATTTCACTGGAACAAGAAAACTAGCGATGCCGTCGTCAGGTTATTTTCGCAGCTCATCAGTGAGCGCAGCGGTACGAGCTCCTTGTCCTGCGTGTGTTCAGATTGTGTCATGGTCATAACAACAACGCACTGTAATGGGGAAACTGACGTTCTCCCTAAGGTTTCTTCCCTTTTTTCCCCTCTTGTAAGGGTTTTTTCATTTTTTGGGGAGTTTTTCCTGTGCCGATGGAGGGTTTCGGGGCAGAGGATGTTGTATGTGTACAGACTGTAAAGCCCTCTGAGGCAAATTTGTAATTTGCGATTATGGGCTCTACAAAATAAAATGACTTGACTTGACTTGACAACGAACAAAACAAAAGATTGTGACACATTTGTAACACTAATAAATTGTACATTAATGAAAAACGACCCCGCTGAACTGCATGCTGGGTACAGCTCACACACCATCACAACAGGAAGTAAACACGCAGGAGAAACAACAACACCATTTGTGGAGCCGTGTGCCGTTTGGAGGGTTTTTGGTTTTGAAAAATACGACGTAAGTTAGACCAGAAACGATTTACGGGAAAATGTTTTTTTCTAACTTTATTGAGAATCTGCCACAAGACAGCTTGCAAGTAGCGCAGCGTCTTAAATAAAGTAATGTGTGTCTCAATGCGAGGTTTCTGTATTTGCCCATAAAGCCTGAAAAAACGGGTCATTTGGCCGACATTTTGACTGACTGACTGACTGACTGACTGACTACGGCCTTCTGAAAGTTGGTCGAGCCGCTGGCGTCGCCTCTCGTGGCAACCCTAGCAGCAGCTGACACGCTGACAGGCTAACCCGGCATCAATGAATACCGTGATATGCCATGAAACAGCCAGAATCCTACAAAGTACCTATATAGATATGAGTTTTTGGCCATAGCGCCCAGCCCTCCTGTGCTGCGTGTCGAGGCGTGTACCTGAAGAGCATCTGCTTCAGCATGCGGTTGGCGGTGGCCACGCGGGGCACCCGGCCTGTGGAGAGGGCGTGCAGCTCCAGGTTGGAGGAGATGATCTGAGTGGTCATCTCTGTGTCTGCAGCTGTTCCTGCCCCACAACAGCTGGGCAGCAACACAACAGTCAGTGAGAGAACACTCTTCACACGGATAAAGGATATCTTCTAATCTGAACATGTATATTTAAATGAGCTCCAGCGTTTAGACAGACCTGGATAACGTCAGCAAATTCAAGCAATATGACGTCATAATAAACAGCAGAAGTCCATTAGAAGCTCTTTCAAGGGGTTTACTTGCATTATCTATACAGTGGTCTTAAAACGATAATCACACGATTTATCAAGAATATTTCAGAGACAAATCATTTGAGAAAAGTTATTGTGACAAATTAAGTTTAGCATTAGACCATCCAAGCATGCAGCCCAGAGAGAGTAAATCTATAAAACACATCAGCTCTTCAGCTTTCCTTTTGAAAACCGCTGTCGCTAAAGGTCCAAAGGCCGACCTCGGTTAGAGCTCAAGCACTTACTAGATGTTGGGGGAGATGTAGTGGATCTTGGAGCAGTTCTTGTCTGCCACTATCATGCCCTCAGTGGCTCTGGTGTCTGCTCCGAGGATGACGCCATCCTACACGGGAAAACAAACCAGTGTCAGTGAGACTGTTCTGCGTCATTCTGACACTTCCTAGTCCGTTTCTCTCATTCCTCAGAATTCCGTCCCTTCCTGACCAACACACACCAGCTTATACGAGTATATATCGATTAATCAGAATGGTCAGGAATTCATATTAGATGGCGACGCATTTATTTTTCTTCTGAATACCTGAACACTATGAGTGCTCATGGTTTGGCCAAGACCAGAACCTTAGTAGATTTATTATGCAGAAAGACTAACAATGTTATCCACGACTTCTTAGTTGTAAAAAAAGAAAACATTCAAAAAATACGTAAACAGTGTTATTGAGTAGACACTTCATCTTAAAATACCCGCGAGTGTTTAGGTCGCACCTGCTTGCAGACGTTAGGCCACACTAACATGACCCAAGCTGGTCGATGAATTGTCCCTCAACTATTACCGTGGCTTTGCTATTAGCTGATCAGCACTAGGGATGTGTTTTGTTTGTGTGTTGTTTGGGGCTTTTCCGATACCGCTGCTGAACCAACAGCGGCAGGTACCGAGCCAGCCTTTCCATTTCCATATAAATAGGCCTATTAAAACGTTGATGCTCATTCTCACAATGAGCTAGAAGGACCCGGGGGACTTTAGACGAGGACACAAGCGCCCAGGTCACTCACCTTGAAGACAACACCACAGATGGTAGTTCCTGTTTTGCGAGCAGCAGGCAGACTGTATCCCACTTTGTTTGCTTCACCTTCCAAAACGGCATTCCTGAAAATAAATAAACAAACAGATCATCACCATGAAAGGATGGAACCGGAAACTATTTGGAAAATATATTTGTGACCTTTATGTTCATTCATCTATAATACACATTTAATCCCGTATACAACGTGTTTTTAACGTCTACAGTTCAGAGGAACAATGTTACAGCCACAGATGTAAGTACATGGCACAACATGAATGAAAGCCTTTTAGTTATCTAAATGCAGCAGTACAGACAAACCAATGAGAAGCCTTTAAAGGCGGCACACAGAGACGCGTTAGCAGCTCGCTTATTATTCACCCAGGTTAGCTCGAGTTAGCGCTATTCACCGGTGCCGCGCTGGGTTAGCGTTGTGTGCGCAGATAGCGGTCTGAATAATATGATAAGAGAAGATATTTTTTATTTATTCAAAGTCAACGGTTATATACTCAAACAGAGTACAGCACACGTAAGTTAATGTTCGCTTCGCATGCGAGCATTCATTGTAAAGCTAGTGTAGGAAACGCCTGAGTCATTGTGTGGCTGTCAAGTCAACATGAGCTAAGCTAGCATCACTGCGACGCGCGGATCAAACCGGCTCACCGCTACGTCTGAATAAAGCGATAGCACCTCATCAAACGCAGCGAGGTGGTTATTCTGCTCTAATTTTACCTCTTGCAGTTTTCGAAACTGAAACCTCCGACCGGTGACTGCCGCACTGCCAATGTCGCCATCTTGGTAAAATGAGCCTTGTGCTTCCCGGAAGTACAGGAAGTGGACTTCTTCTTCTTCGCCTTCTTCTTCTTCTTCTTCGCCTTCTTCGCCTTCTTCTTCTTCTTCTTCTTCTTCTTCTTCTTCTATGAAAATAAATCCATTTCTTGAAATTCTGATTATTCTGCGTCACAAAGTCTTCTCTGAATAAGGAAACTCGTCTCGTTGTAAAGATTTGGAATTAATTAATTTGTCTGTATGTGTATTCAGAGCCAGTAATAAACAGAGTCTCGAAATATTAATCAAAAAAATGCACGATGAAAATTGATAATAATAATATAATAACGTAATAATAACCATTTAACAGCTTCATAACTTCGTCGTCACTACGTTCCCTTACTTCATTTACTTACTACTACTTTTACTACTTTTTGTCTAATTCAGTTTTTCACATTTAGTAAGGAGTTAGTCTCGGCTGGTAAATCCGATTGTACTTACTCCCAACAGAAGGTCTGTTCTTGGCCTGTAACACTGTGTATTTTTAATCATGGTACCATGTTTTGTCCTTGAACAGGACGGATGCCAACTTGATGCCAGCTGGATGTCAAGGTCGACTAGGAAATGGGATCCCGTGAGGAGGACGAGATCAGATAGTGTGCCTCCAAAACAAGATGAGTGCATTATGTCGATTAAGCCTTTTATTAAGGCAGAGTGGTTAAAACAGGTGCTTGAAGGTGTAATCAGTGGGATCTGATAACAAAGGTTTAATGTGCCCTGACTTTAACGTGCACAAAGTGTGTTTGTTTTCTTATCATAAACCTCCCTCATGTTCCAGTTCCAATACATTATCATGGAATAAATAATTGGCTTCACATATTGCACTACGTTCCGTATTTTCCTAAGGGAGATGTTGTGTGTTGTGATGACTAAAATGTTGTCTAAATGTTGCCTTTGTGTTGGTGCTGCACATACTGACCCCCTCATCCCTGCAGAAGTCAAGTAACCAAGCATTCCTTAAACCTCCAGTCCTTGATTTAAAATGTTAGTCTATCACTGACTTATATTCAATAATAAAACACATGTCACGGTAAAGTCTTAAGTAATGTAATGCAATGTAATTGCGCTCTTATAAGGAAAAACACATTTCTTTTTAATATGTCAATAATATTATTCACTATTAGCATCATGTAGGATTAAAAACCAAAGGGCACTGTATAACATATGTTTACGGCACAATTATTATTATTGATAATTATGTTTCACCTGAAAACAGAAGTTTATTTTGGATAATTAAACGTGTCAAAAGCTTTCATTGAAAAACATTTAGTCAGTTCTTATACAAACTGTTGTATTAGGATTAACTCTGTGGCGTCACATCAACCTAATTCTAGTTCCCCATTTTCTTTCTGCTCTCTCCCCTTGTCACAAACACTCAGACAGACGTTTTAGTTATTAGCTTTCACGTTGCTTAACTGAGTTAATTATCTTCAGACTCACCAGTGATGCTTTTTCACCGACTGCTCTGTATCTTCCGACATATAGACCTTTGACAATTATTAAGAGGACATTAAAATTGTCACAGTTGTGAAATGTCAGAGTCACCATGAAGAAAACCTGTGTAAATAGATGTCAAACTCTTAAAATGCCATTTCTCTTGATGTCCTGATGCAAAATGCTCTGATAGTAAACTCGTATCGCTTGTGGTTTATTGTATATTGTCTTACACCTTGTATCCCAGGCCGTGACGTTCTTCTGGATGCGCCGTTGGTTGAGCTAGCGCAGGTGCTAATGGGGCCCAATGGGGGCTGGGAATTGGCAGTTGACCAATAACGCCCCCCGTAGTGTCAAAGCTGTGCCCAGATGTGCACGGAACATCGACCCGCACCTGACTGACCGACTACTGCAGCAGCTTTGACCTTTACAGTCGGGGTGGTTTGCCTCCACGCAGCCACAGCAGCTGACTGTTAACAGCGCAAATGACAGTAGTGCTCCTCATTATCAGCCACCAACACATTAAATGTTAACACAAGTCTACACAAAGTTGAAAATGCTTTTATTGAAAACAGCAGAATCATATGCAAATAGACATGTGGGCTGTAGCTGTAGGTCACCCGGTTCTAAAGCCGGTTTTTGTTTTTAAAGTAAAAACATGCATGTTCGACTGTCAGATTGCTCCTTTAAGCTTACGAGTAGTTTCAGGGGATAAAAGTCTCATTTACAATATGATTTAACTGTACATATTAATGTGGAAATCCAGTGTAAAGCAGAGAACAACATCAGGGATAATCCATCACAGCTTAATGCCTCCGTGCGGCTGCAGGCACTCACACGGCGCCTGAGTGTTCATGCCCAGCTTGGCATGGAACAACTCAATGAGCAGATTGTTGCAGGGCACCTCGCCCCCCAGGTGTTTGCAGTACAGGTATTCTTCGGCGAGGGCGCTGAGAGAGCGCAGCTCGGACAGGCAGAGCAGCAGGTGAGCAAAGCGTCCGAGGACGTGCGAGGAGGTGCACAGCGTGTACTCCAGCAGGGCTCCTTCAGCCTGCTCCTGCACGCTCTCTATGAACCGATGGTCCTCCAGCTGCTTCACATCTGGTCAGTGGGCGGGAGGGGAAAGCGAGAGCCAATGAATTTGTGTACGGCAACGGTTGTCAAACATCACAGGGAGAGAAACGGAGAAGTAACACACTTGGGAATCAGAACGGTTCATTTAGTAATAATACTCCAGGAACCCACATTAAGTTCCTTCGAGTTCTCTAGACTCCTCTTCATAACTCTCTGTTGAAACAAATAGCAACAAATAGCATGTCGCCTCCCTCATATGTTGGGTCTCAACCACTTGGCATCACGTCACTGACAAATTCTCTCCTACAACGACATATTTTACTTCTGACTGGACTGCAGTGTTAATTTTGGCAGCTATTTTTGATTTAGTTTTAGTCTTTAGACAGAAAAATGCATACTAGTTTTATTCACATTCACTCATTTTAATTCTTCTTAGTTTTAGTCGACGAAAACTAGACAACGAAAAAAGACTAAAATTAGTTTTAGTCACATTTAATCTACAACTTGTCTAAAACTGCATAATAGTCTAGCTTGCAGTACTTGGTTGTCCATTAGATGTCCCTCATAGGACAGGTCTATAGATGTCCCTCCTAGGACAGGTCTATAGATGTCCCTCATAGGACAGGCCTATAGATGTCCCTCGTAGGACAGGTCTATAGATGTCCCTCCTAGGACAGGTCTATAGATGTCCCTCCTATAGGACAGGTCTATAGATGTCCCTCATAGGACAGGCCTATAGATGTCCCTCATAGGACAGGTCTATAGATGTCCCTCCTAGGACAGGTCTATAGATGTCCCTCCTAGGACAGGTCTATAGATGTCCCTCCTATAGGACAGGTCTATAGATGTCCCTCCTATAGGACAGGTCTATAGATGTCCCTCCTAGGACAGGCCTATAGCAGGTCGGAAAACTTTTTGACTCGCGGCCACAGTGGGTTGTAAAATGTGACGGAGGAGCCGGGCCAAGAACAAATGGTTGAAGTGTTTGTGTGAGCGAATATAAATGACATGTGAAAAATCATTACATGAAAGCGTTTGGATTTTAACAAATAGCAAAGCATTTATTTGGAAGGCAATTAAACAAATTGGCAAAGGTGTAACAACTTGATGAGGACCTGGGATCTAAACGCAAACACTTTGTTGTCTTTGTCTGTTTACTTGCAATGCTTGACACGGCCACCTGTCACGTGTGTGGCACCTCTATGTTGCTTAGTAACGAGCGTACGGTGGCCGAGACGGTTCAACAGTCTTCTCACGATGTGACGCGTGAACTACAGTTGAAATGCGTGAGGCTTCAGCCCGCTAACAGTCAGCTAACAGTCAGCTAACAGTCAGCTAACCCGAAACAGCCGATCTAAACTAACGAAGCCACGTTCAAACTCGCCGAAGCGTAAAATAGTCGTCTCGGTCCGTAGTCGGTGCACAAGAACCACCGCTGCGCGCGCGCGTTCTGGGTTGGTGGATGACGTCATCGTGACGCGTTAATAACCGCCGTACTTTTCCGGTCTGTTGCCTGTCAGCTGCGCGCGAATTTAGGGGGGAAAGTATTGTGACTTCGTCAACCACCAACATGTTCGTCTCGTTAACGAAAGTTAGAATAGATTTAGTCATAGTCTTTATTTTTTAAGATCGTTTTCGTCACGTCTTAGTCTCGTCTTAGTCATGGAAAAAAGGTTCCGTAACGAACATTTTTTGTCATAGTTTTCGTCGACGAAATTAACACTGCTGGACTGGAAAGGAACCTCGGCTGAAATTAGTAAAATATTCTTTTGGAAAAGCACGTGGCTCATGTGTGCTATCAAGCTTTTCCAAAAGCCTTAATTGCCACTAACCTGGGTTGAAAAGGACGATGAACTTAATGCAGGCAAACTCCTGACGGTCCACTTTTATGACGTGAAGCTTCTCAACCAGCTCCTGTCCTCTCTGGATTAGGCCGGCTACTCCAGCGTGGGACGCCACGTCGGACAGCTCCATCTGACCCAAAGAGCACATGTACTGACATCAGGAACCGTCCCAGACGCCTCTCTGTGCTGCACAACCTTTACATCCACGTGTCCGACCTCCTTTCCAAAACCCTGTTTGGGGAGGCTGGACCGTATACGCCGCCGGCTTTGTTTTGCCACTCAAGACTCCAAAGCTCAGGAATTATTACGTTACTGTTGGAGAACGTTTGGTCCCTAGAATCAAACCTGATTGTCCCCTAATGCCAATGTTCAGTTAAACCCAGATTTATATAGACTTATCTTTCCAGATTTTTATGTGGTTACATTTCAAATAATCCTTGATCTGTTTAGTAGTCTATCAAATAACTATGTTCGGAATTCACCATCTGATGTCGGGGGAACCGTTAGGCCAGCAGAGGTTTCCAAATAACAAACCGTTGCCCCCCCCCCCCCCCCCCATACAGGGGAAAGTGTTAAATGTATCATTACAGGCGTCATGGGGATCTGATTTGGAAATGATTCTAGTGTCAGTCCAAACAAGTTTGGGATACATTTCATACCTTCAAACAGATCTGTAGGAAGAGTAACATTTGGTGTCTTGGCAAAAAGTCAGTTTTAATGCGGAAGTGGTATGAAACAGAATGAATGAATGAATACAGCAGGAATGGAAATGAGATGGTTCTGGTTCTTTGTAGCCGTGTGTTTCCTTTCTTTACATTTTATCATTTAGCTGATGCTTTTATATACAGTGACTTACTGTAAGTGCATCGAACCAAGAAGGGAACAGAACCAAAACTTCGAGAATCAAGAAAGCCAATCTACAGAGTGCTATACGTAATTGCCATCATAAATGCTAATGACGTGCTAATTAGTCCAGCTATAGTCAGTCGGAAATTCAGGTTAAAACCAGTGGAGCTGCTGCATTCTGGATGAGCTGCAGAGGTCGGACGGCGCTGGCAGGTTGACCTGCGAGGAGGGAGTGAGATGACCACAGAAACTTTACCTCCTGCCCAGTGACCAGTAGCAGGCTGCCCTCTTTGCCATACAGGACTTGTCTGGAGATGACATCCAGGAGCAACAGGTCACTCCAACAGCTGTGCAGCAACTTCATCTGGTCATTCACCTTGGAGCAGAAAGAAGATCTTCCATTATTGTGATAATAATTATGCACGTTAGCTTTTTCTTCATCCCCACTTTAAGCTTCAGATCTGCGGCTACAGGAACCTTAGAGTACATCCATATCTCACGCAAGGCAAGGGTCTTTATTGTTACTTTTCTATGATAAGCACGGAGTTTAAGTAGAACAAAAGAAACTGTCCACCCATTGACTTGGTTGAGATGCTGGTGGGGGAACCTTCAACTCCCCCTGCTTAAGCCAAATAAACAAACCATAGAACATGTGCATCAAAGTTACACGATGAAATGTAAAAGTATGCCATTTCTGCATCTTCCAACATATTTGGACTGTTATTTATTTTAGTCCTGATATCATTGTGAAATCAATCGATCTGAAGATCCCTTTTGTGCACCTAAAATGCTATGAAGATATTCATTCCAACAAACACGAGCCCTCAGAAGATCTCACCTTAAGTTGTTTGAAAAAGATGGACGTGCGAGCCCACTCAACGATGGAGAACAGCGTCTGGTCGGCCATGAGACACATCAGGCCAAAGCTGCTGGGGTTCCCGTGTTTCTCACAGTCTGTCTGCTCCTGCAGGAGACGAGCAGTGATCTTATTCTGAAGCTGCTGCTCATCTGGATCACAGCGCACAAACTCCGTCACTAGCTGTGGCATTCTTAGGCCGCGCAGAGGGAGGTGTCTGGAGTATAGCTCATCGGAGTCGAATCCTGCAGCCGAGTTGTTGCCGTGCTCGGACTTGATGGTCCAGTTTGAGGAGGAGGTACACTGGTACTGCTGGACTCCGGGTGAGTCGGACGGCAGGAGTGAGCTCAGTGTTGGAGGCTGGTAGCTGATACCATGGCTCTGCATTGGGTTGCAGTGAAGGATGGGAACTGGATGAAGGCCACAAGTGAAGGTCACGTCTCTTTGCTGGGTTGAGGAGCCCAGCGATGGACTGCTGACTATTCTGAATCTGCTGGCTTGAATCAGCGCCTTCCTCTGTTGCTTGAGGGCGCGATCACGCTTGTACATGGGGCCAAACTTGTTCCTGCCACCTCGTATCCGATCTGCACGAACAGCTGATGGGATGAGATTTGTTAAGAGAAGTTCCACTAGGTTGTTTACAAGCTACCCATCAGATTGCTCATTCATGATGGGGAATCACAGAACATCCTTCATATTCCTCATCTTGAAGACAACAACTGGGAAAAAACCTCGGATGTAGATTTCTCAGCAAGTGAACGGTATATTTAGTCAATTTCCCTGAGAGTTGCCCTTTCACACATAGAAATACTCTGCTTTGCAGGAAGTCGGAGCTGAACTGGGTTTGAATCAGGAAGCAAAATATATGAAACACTTTACAACGTTGTATGTTGTACGAGTGCTGTCCCATTCATATTTTAAATGATTTCAAGCCCCAGTCTCTCTCACTAAACCATTTACCAGCTTCCGTCACTTGAGTCCCTGAGGCTTCAGGGTGGAAGACCTTAGACAGGATAATGGGATTGGGTCCATTGTCTTCACTTTAAGATGTATGTATTCTTCCAGTGGTCAACATCCTCATACGCTCGCTGCGAATTCCTGCGTTGCGCTGATGTCACGACCCAGCGCTCCCCTTCCCCGGAGTACTGAGGCCTTCAAATCAGGTCCCCAAACCCCCCCCGTTTACTGTCTAGTTGGTCGGTCCCGTTTTGTGTTAGTTTGTTTGCACGCCCACTCATCCCTACACACCTGTGTCTGGTTCCCCATCAAGCTGGTCTGTGTAGATACCCCCCTCATCCCTCTGTGTTCCTCGAGAAGTCTTGTGTAGTCAACGTCACATTCTGAGCGTTATTTGGATCTCCTGTTTGTACCCCCGTTGAAGACTCCTTGTTTGTTCTAGACCTCGATGCCTCCTGGGGGCTCTTACTGTATGCTGATCTGGCTCCGACATCCTCAAAGGCTGAGGGAGGCCTGTGACAGACTCCGCCGGGTCTGGTTGAGGCAAAGTCTTCTGTAACGCATCACAGGAGACCGGAGTAGACCCAAGCGCAGATTTAATCAACAGGTACACAGGGAGTAGGCTTAGTGGTAGACAGGCACGGGGTCGAAATCCAGGAGCAAGGAGATGGGCGAAGGTACAGATGGGGATCAGGCAGGAGGCATCGAGGTCTGGAACAAACAAGGAGTCTTCAACGGGGGTACAAACAGGAGATCCAAATAACGCTCAGAATGTGACGTTGACTACACAAGACTTCTCGAGGAACACAGAGGGATGAGGGGGGTATCTACACAGACCAGCTTGATGGGGAACCAGACAAAGGTGTGTAGGGATGAGTGGGCGTGCACAACCGGCAGACACACAACGGAACAAACTAACACAAAACGGGACAGACCAACTGGACAGTAAACAGGGGTTTGGGGACCCGATTTGAAGGCATCAGTACTCCGGGGAAGCTGGATCGTGACAGCTGACTTATGCGTCCTCTCTCCTCGCTTGACCACCAAATCGTTCCCCTTTCAGCATCGTGAAGAACCGTCCAATCCTTTAAATGCACCTTGAATGAAGACGAGGAGAGAGGAGACTTCCCGAAGGGGCTAAGAGCGAGGCTACAACGGTTAAACTAGGATGATAAATAAATGTATCACACATCACATTCTGGTCTAATCATGCCACGGTGTCAATTTAATTTATAGTAAATATATGAATTGTCTTATTTGATTATAAGATACACCCATCGGTGAACAAAACAATGGACAGCTGATGCTTACCGGTAAGTAGGGCTTGATTTATTAAATGTGTCCATGTCCATTCAGGGTAAAAACAGGGATACGTGTCTTCTTTTTAAGACTAATAACATTACACTCAAATAGCTTTTCATTTCATTCACAAGAGGCCTGACCTGGAACTTCCTGGCACCTTATTGGCTCATATTAACAAGTTAACACTGTAAAATAGACTCTCAAATTGACAGTCTAATAAAATACTTGGTGCCTAGGACAAATGTTTAAGTACAACAACATAGTTGGAGAAGGATGGAAATCAATAGCACTGATTTTCTAAATGACCTATTGAATATTAAATGATGACAGTACAGTAATGTTGTAAATTAGAAACAAATTGCAAAAACTATGATACGAATAAATGAAAAGAAAATATTTGGGGGAATTCCGTTTCTGTTTTTCATATATGTTGTGAATAATTTTAAAATCTTTATTTTTAAATGATATATTTATAAAGTATGAGCTATTATTGCTGCTGTGGAGCAATGTTCCTCCATCTGTAATAATATAATACAATAGTAATGTGTTTTTCCTGGGAAAAGTGTCTGATGATAAACAATAAAGGGGCAAGATACCAACAGTGTATATTCATAAATATAGCAGTAACAAAAATATGTACCCTGTTATTTATTTTTGGACCTTTATAAATTAAAATGTGTCACCCCTGAACATTTGCACCTATTGGCTTCATCATTTATGGTTGTTGTTTTCTTAAATGTTCTGGTCGGAGGGTATAACTGCGCAGCAAGAAACATTTTTGATATATCTTTGTACATAAAAAATAGTTATATTATATACTCTTTATAATTGATGCCTGAATACGAATCAAAATCAAAAAGTGAGAGGAAAGTTTGCTGTGTGTAGTTACTGAAATGAGAACAACTCATTTCGAGAAAACGGAAAATAAATGTAGTTCAATTCAATAATTCATCATTCATACAGTGCAGGTGAATAAATCAGATCTATTAACATATCATCAGAGCGAAAGGAGTCAATTCTGGCTGTATAATAAACAGTGAAGATGAGGCCCAGTACTGTTTGTGAACTATTGCGTGTTACGATTGATGAAATATGTTGAATTTTTTTCCCATTATAACCATTAACACCGTTATTATTGTTGTTTCATTAAATTGGTATGGACGTGACAGCACACCCAATTAACGTCTGCTAGGGATTTGATTCTATTTAATTCTTTATAATGTATATGATTGTGGTAGTCTGCAGCTTTTGCTTCTGATGACGTGGCCCTCGTTATTGGGGAAGCAGGTCACAGTGATGCCTCCTTACCTTCCAGCCGCATGCCGACATGGAGACACTTCTGGAACCTGCAGAACGGACAGCGCTTCCTCTGACTCACATCGACCCTGCAGCTCTGGCTCTGCGCGCACGTGTACTTCTTGTTGTTCTGGACGGTTCTTTTGAAAAAGCCCTGCGAGTAGAGAAATACATCCACCTGAGGAAGGATGCTCTGTTCATGTGGACATTGTGGAAAAACCCAACTGGAGCGGAAGTCAGTGCACCTTGCAGCTCTCGCAGGTGAGCAGACCGTAGTGGTAACCGGAGACTTTATCTCCACACACCGGACACGGCTCCTCCACCCCGGCCCCATGTCGGAACTCCATCCTGGCAAAGAGGGACGCAGCAGCGCTCAAGACACACGGGGGAGGCTGCAGCGCCACGTGGCCCCCGTCCCCGGGGGACCGACCTACCTGTTGATGGACGGGTCGGCCTGCGAGGTGGTGTCCCTGCTGGCGGACTCCGATCCAAGTCGGTGTGAACGTTCTGCCAGCTGCGTCCTTGTGGATGAGGTGCGGTGATGTGATCGTCACAGGAGGGACTCTCCGTGGTTCTCGTGGAGCTGCAGCCAATGAGCAAGCCTCAATCCTCGGCTCACCTGTTTCTAGGATTATACCTAAAAAAAAAAGGGCCGACTTTATTCAACATCTACATGCTCCCACTAGGACAAATCATGCAAAGAAATAAAGTTGACCACCATTGCTACGCTGATGACTCCCAAATCTATGTAGCGCTATCACCAAACGACTATCGCCCCATAGATCTCCTGTGCCAGTGCATTGAGCAAATCAAAGACTGGATGTGTCAAAATGTCCTACAACTAAATGAAGACAAAACTGAGATCATTGTATTTGGTGCTAAAAAAGAAAGGTTTAAAGTAACCCAACACCTTCACTCTCTGTCCCTGAAAACATCAAATAAAGCCAGAAATCTGGGGGTTATTATGGATTCAGATTTACACTTGGAGAGTCACATCAAATCAGTAACAAAATCGGCCTACTACCACCTCAGAAATGTAGCACGACTTAGAGGGCTCATGTCAGCTCAAGACTTAGAAACACTTGTACTGCCTTTATAACTAGTAGGCTGGACTATTGTAATGGTCTCCTTGCAGGTCTGTCAGGCAGCTCCAGCTTGTTCAGAACGCTGCTGCTAGAGTTCTAACAAAGACCAAAAAATGTGAGCACATTACACCAACTCTTAAATCCTTACATTGGCTCCCAGTATGTCAGAGAATTCATTTCAAAATCCTACTGCTCACATATAAATCACTACATAGTTTAGGGCCAAAGTATATCACTGATATGCTTCCACTACATAAGCCTTCAAGATCACTGAGATCTTCTGACACCAACCTGTTAGTGATTCCCAGAGTAAATACACATCATGGGAAAGCATCATTTAGTTACTACGCAACAAACAGCTGGAATAAACTTCCTGAAGATTTAAGACTTGCCCCAACTCTGACCACGTTTAAAACAAGACTGAAAACTTTTATGTTCAGCTTCGCCTTCTGCTAAATTTGACCTACATTGCACTTTTAACCTCTGCCTTTAATTAAACAATTTAAATAAGATTTTAATTTATAATTATTATTTGCTGTTTTTAATTGTCTTTTAATTCCTGCATTTTATTTCACTTTATTGTATGAAATGTTATGATGTGAAGCACTTTGAGTCTGCTATACAAATAAAATTGCCTTGCCTAAAATGCACAGTTTTACTGTTTTCTTTGATTGCACAGATCATAAATTCAACAATGACATTCAAAGGACAGCCAACATATGAGTTGATGAACGAACATTCTTGAATCCTACAAAGTAATTCTTCATGTGGTATTTGTAGAACATGATGTTTTCCAGCCTCTTCAATCAAAGCAATAGGAATATTTAAATATATATTTATTAGATTCAAATTTCCTTTTACTTAAGGTAAAATATTGGTATGTTGGGGCAGTTCAAGGAGGATGTCACGGTTTGGGGTTCACGTCTTGTTTTATTTTGTAGTTTTCTGCATCATGTCTCCCTGGTAACTTCACTTCCTGCCTTGTCCTGTCTTCCCCTGTGATTGTCTGTTGTCTCATGATTGTTTCCAGCAATCACATGCACCTCCCTAGTGTATTTAAGCCATGTGTGTCTCTTGTCATTGTTGTTAATTGTACGGAGGCCCATGTCCACGTCATAGTTCCTGTCTCCTGTTCCTCCACTACGTTTTGCCTTTTTGGAAATTTGAGTTTGGAATTTTTGACTATTAAAGTCCCATTTTGTTTCTGGAAAACTCTGCGTCTAAGTCCTACCTTTCCCCGAGAACCTTCCTGACAGAGGAGCTATATCAACACATCTTGTCTTGCAGTGTTAGATACACCATTATAGAAAGGTTTACCACCATGTAATGCCCTTTAAATACACAGGCACACATTGTAAAAAAGTATTCATGGTCCCGGGAGGATTTGCTGTCCTATCAGATAAGTTCAAATAACTCAGTTAACGTAGAATATTATGTTCTTAGGTTTATTTCAAAGGCTTTTTTAACCTGATTTTACTTAAAAATCTGTTATACCAAAGTGGACAGTGTTACAATGTTTGTTTGCATGGAGCCTTGGATTTATTTTTTTGTAGGTTCAGGTGGAATTGCAAAAGCTCAACCTTTCAATTATTCATTAGCCACAGCCAGTCGTATGAATATTTATTTATACATTTAAACTTTGCTGACTTTCTAATTACCTGTCATGTCTACAACTGAGTGGTGTTGGTGTAGGACACAACCTGACGCTTCTCTGTGGTGCTCAGGATTAATCAGCAACTTGAGGTCTGTTGTAAGCTGACGGCTAATTAGCAGGACATATTCAGCAGACTGTACTGAACAAAGTTCTACCCATTCAGAACATTTTAGCAACACGTCTGACATCTTTTTTAGGCAGGTGGAGTTTTCCTGAACAAGTCAGGGGGACTTTTTAAAATCTCTTATGTATTTAACTTTCTGGATCACCCGGCTGCTCCCTGTGCCAAGGATGAGAGACAAGAGGAGTGTAAACAAGGGCTCACCGCACAACATCGCCATAGAGACCTCCAGGGAAGGATGCCCCGCCGTGGGAGAGTCTCCAGCCTCATCACCAGGGCTCTGATCCCAACTTCCTCCTCTGAGAGCCTCCCTCACCAGCACCCATCCACCCCCACACCCAACGATCAATGCGTTCTGGGTATCTTCTATGTGTAATTATGGATTCAGACTCCAATCTGAACAGCCATATGAAGACAATTTCAATTTTGTGACAATTTCACAAAATCAGCCAACTATCGCGTGAAATGTATATCGAGGATTCCAGGACTTCTGTCTCAACGGGATTTGGACAAACTTGTCCATGCATTTGACATCAGGGGACTGGACTGTTGTAACAGTGTGTTCACTGGTCTTTACACTGGCTACCTGTCCAACAAGGACATGAATTAAAAAACCTGCTGTTGGCTTATAAAGCACGGAATGGTTTAGGGCTAAACGACATGTCTTACCTGCTGCTGCCTCACAAATGGTTGTTGTTGTGGAAATGCGCTATCAAATACGTTTTCCTCGCCTTGCCTTTCCTTGCTGTCTATTGCCTGTTGTGTACTTTAACGTATGTGACATATACAATATTTTTACAAAATTATAAATAAATTATTATTCAATAGTTTTATAGCTGAGTTACTCCATATGCTGACTGTTGAAATAACCCCTGGGGTGCACACACACTAAGTTCTGATTACAGCTGGATGGGTGGCCGTAGAATACACATTCACAGTCCTGGGAGGATGAACCCGTTGGTTTTGTTGATCCTGACCTGTGGCAAGAATGTAATCGTCAGTATGCGTCAGCATGGGAGTTCTTTCTTAACCTCAGGAGCTCCTATAGAGCTGCACCAAAGACTACCTCCAGCCCTGTGTTCTGTTCCAGCACTGACGCAGCTAACTCACATCACTCATCGGGGGAGTTAGTGGTCATCAGTAAAAAGCTCCTTCAGTTCAGTGTTCACATCCAGTAGAGGGAGCTGCTGTATTACAGTAAGAGACCAACAAGCTGACAACAAACCAGCTGTAGTTTTACCCTCAACTCCCCCATGTAACTAACTGCTCTTAAGTCGATACTTGCTAATAACTTGCTGATTCATTTATGTGTCGTCTTTGTCGTATCCACCTTCTCAGTGGTAATGTCAACACTTTCTTTACTCTTATTCTCTATTTGATATTTGGCTCTATTGAATGTTTTAATTTCTCTGTCCCCGTTCTTCTAAATGTTGATGTCCCTCACATCCGCGCTGACATCATCACTTCCTGTCTCTTCCTGCCTGCGGCTCAAGGACCAAATGGCACTGTAGTGGTAGCCGCACAATGATGGCTGCTCATCACTGATTCCAGTCAGCTCACTGTGTCCTTACTGGACCCGGGTTACCATTCTCAATATTTGAATCATTTCGGTCAGAGGGAATTGAATGTATTGTACATCTTTGATCAGGAGTGGCTTCCTCCTCTGCTGTTCTCACCAAGGTTTCTTCCATTTTCTCTCCCCAGCGAAGGGTTTTTCATCTTTTGGGGATTTCTTCCCGTACGTATGTGAGGGTTTCCGGAGAGTGCATGTCGCATGTGTACAGACTGTAAAGCCCTCTGAGGAATTTGCAATTTAGGGCTATAGAAAATAAAATGAATTCAATTGAATTCAAACTGGCAAACAGTTACTACACCGATGAAAATCAACATTGTCGATGTGTGTATTATGATATAGTATTGCACTAGACATAGATGTTTAAATTCAAGTGTTTATGTGTTGACAGTTCTGTTGACATGTATTTGGAAAGAGATTATTTTAACATTTATTGCATGGAGACATTCAAATTCAACAATTAGACTTTGCATGGATAGCATATATAGATCTGGATTACATGTCATTACTGTTTTCTTTGGATTCCAATCCGCTCTTTCAGATATTTAATGGAGATGAAGTCACTCTTGTTGTTTTCAACGAACTTAGTTTGGTTTGTCAACATCTAGTCTTTTTCTTGTAAAAAAAGGTTGTTGATTAATGTTCACAGTTTTTAATTGGCAAAATAAACCTTATAAACTGCTTCACATTCTGCTTCCTAGAGACAGCTGTCATTTTTTTTGACAAAAAGAAGTTAATTCTCAGAAAAAGTTCAACTAACATTTGAAGAAATGTGTCTCTTTGTTGGTGAGGACAGTGTCTCGTCATGTCCAAATGTCTGCTCTTACACTCCATATAATATACCTTTACTTTGCAGAATAAATACTAATCTCCAACATTTTAAAGACATGCAAGCAATTAAGTTATCTCATATGACAGCAATTTTTACCACTTATTGTTGAAACTCTTTTGTGGTGTTAAAACCATAGTCTGACATCTAAGAAGTTCATAAAAGCAGTAACAGTTTTAAAGCAACAGTGAAGATACAAAGAAGATCAGGCCGCAGTGGATGTTTGAACTTCTGGTCTTTCTGAAAGCTGAGAGCTCGAGCATCTGGATGCAGTT